ATTTCTTTTGCAACATCTCAACCAACAATTGGTCCAGTTAACCATGCTATTTTCAAGTTTTGAACAACTCGACTTTCAAGACCTACGTATCTATCTACATGTGCCGATGTTTCCATTTATCAACGTTATATTTTAAGATCTGTGCAAGAACTCAGCTAACAGATGTTTCCATATATAAAATCTATCTTCAAGTTTTGTACAACAAAAAACCTTTTCAAGTATTTGCTAAGTCTTAAATTTCTTGTTTTTATGTATATTTTGTATCTGTTATATATTTTTTAACAAAATAACTAGCATCTAATAATTAAAAATGGATTAGGTTAAATAATAAAACTTAAGTACAAAAAAATTTTGGTCATCACTCCTCGAGCAATGCACAAGCAGTTACTACCAAGTTAGATGTTTATGATGTAATCTAATTCGTTTTCTTACTCCCTATATCACCCACCTATTTACTGCTTGTAACAATACTTAACATGGTTCAAACAGCAATAAAATAATAAAATTGAATTAAAGCATTTGTGAAAAGTTAAGTGGTCTAAAGTTTTTAAGATAAATAATTGTAGTTGTAAGTTATAATCTGTAATTGTTCTAGTGAAAAAAAAACATATTTTTGATTTTATTTCATACTTTTCAACATTTGCTGCAGATGGTGCTGGGGTAGAGAAAATAAGAGATAAAGTACAAACTTTTATTGAAAAAACATTTGATATTCGTTTAGGAGGTTCCAGAGATTATGGAAATGAAATATGAAAGGCAAGAAATAATATTTTTATTTTTAATATGCAAATCACCTTGTAGTCAGACTAGTCAGAATCAGTGTTAGACCGACTCAGTAAATTCACAGAAAAATATTTAGTGAAAATACTTTATTAAGAATTCTGATTTTTTTTTGTGTACAACATACTTGTAACAAGTAAAAGTACCCGTCCCCAGTGACCAGAAAAGTTTATGTTAATCCAGCAAAATTACCCATCCCCCATTTATGGGAAACGTTTAAGGTAATCTATCAATATAAATTATTGCATGGACTTTAAAAAGTTTAATTATGTTTCATGCTTGGTTCCACTAAGAGCCGAAGCTCCAAGCTACTTATACCACCCACTGCAAAAAGTAATTGTTGAGTATTTCAGTCACACTAAGAGCTGCTCAACGATAACAAACAGTAAATCTACATATTTATTCTTAAGTTACATCACATTTTGAAATGTAAATGACAGTGTGATTAATTCCTAACAATTTAGTGTAGAATATCCTGCTTGCAAAATAAAATTTGACATCAACATTATTCATGCTTGTTCTCCTGCCATTTGAAAAGTGAATGTTGAGCTTTGCCAGCGTATGCAACTTTTCAAATTGGAGACAGACACCATGATTCGCAAAATATATAAGATCTTGACTAAAAACTTATCAAATTCTGTGAAAATGCAATTAGTAAATTTAGAATTATGGTAATCAATGCTATGTATAGCTTCACAGAAATGGAGGTTAATGAAATGCACCAATACTGTACACCTAGGGTTAAGGAAGTAAACTTGTCTGTAAAATCCTTTCTTCCTTGAGGGATGAAGGAGTAAATTACTTCTACAATCTTCCTTCTCGGGAACTCAACTTTGAGGAAGTAAACATGTCTGTAAAGTCCTTCATACTTTAGAAATCTACTCTGAGCAAGTAAGTCAGTAAAAGAATTCTCTACTTTGGGATATTACTTTACAGCAGTAAACCTGTCTGTAGATCTTCACTACCTTTGGTATCCTACTCTGGAAAAGCTAACTATGTATAAAAGCATACTAGATGGTTCTTTTCTATTTAGTTTAAAAATTGCTCACCTAAAATTTTCAAGAGTTTCACACATGTGTGCATACAGTTAAGCATATAGGTTTAATGACACAGATTGGTTTTGAAATGTGACTATACTTGTGGTTGCATTAGTTTACTTATTGTTATGGGTCATTACCTTTTACTGTTACCTAAAGCTTTCTCTTGGAAGAGTCTGCTCCATAATTATATAGGATAGTTATTACTTAGTATCTGTAGAGGTTTCGACAACACCTTTTTCACATCTCAAGGATGTATTTTGTACTTTGTTTGGTCTCTTTCTTCAAAATCAGTCAGAGTCTAATTCAGATCTAATTCCACACAACAGTTTCTGCCATTCCTCCTGTTATCTTTGGTTACTACCCAAAGTTCAATCAGTACATCTGGGAATACCACAAAAGTAAGCTCGTTTTTCCTAACACGTGATCCTACTCTGGGAATGTAAAACTGTTTGTAAAATCCACAAAAGACCCAGATGTTATCCAAAACTTCAAGCATTTATTTCTAGATATAAAGCCAATAAAAATAGGAACATCTTAATGAAATAAAGTAATAACTAAGTGAAGATACCATGACAAATTAGTTGGTAAAATAATGCTAAACACCTTAAAGAAAGTAAAGTTCTTCTTATTACCTAACTTGAAGTTCTTTATTTTTGTTCTATTTAAAATTTTTAGTCAAATGGTTTGGTTGTTTTAAGCACAAATCTACACAATGGGCTGTCTACGCTCTGCACACCATGGGTATTGAAATCCAATTTTTTGTGTCATAAGTCCTACAGACTTACCACTAGGTGGCCTAACCAAATGGGAGATTCAAATTGAATTTAATGTTACTGGAATCACTTGAGTTTACGATAATAAAAACATCAACATCAATTCTGATATTAGAGCCAATTTTATAAATTAAATTCCCACACTTTTCTAAGAGTCAACAGTTTTTGACTGTCAATGTTCCTAATTTAACTCGCAATATTTACAATTTATTTTGGTTTCATATTTGTTTTTCATTTCACAATAGCACCTTTTATGTGTTTTTTATGAAACATTTTATAGTTATTAAAACATATTTTCAAGACTAAGATCATAATTCACAGTAAATTTTACAACTAAAATTATTTCACTATTAGGGTGCCACGTCATCACAAATCATATCAAAAAATAGGTATTAGATAATACATATATCTTACTAATATTTAATTGAAGATGGGGTGATGAGAAACCCCACAGAAAATAAATGTCAGAAATTATAAAAAAATATATTACCAGTAATTTATTGAAGACAATTTCAAGACACTTTTGATTATTCTCCAAATTTATAGCACAAGGAGCCATATCTGCTAACAGTTTCAACAACTCTAAACTAACATCTGTCCCTTCTTCTATAGTGGGAATACTTTCGAGTACTGGAACCACTTGTTTACAGAAATACTGAACAAATCGACCTGAGCTGACGTATGGCTAAAAAAACAGTAATGAAAAGATATATCACACTGAAGTTGAACTGTTAGCACTGACTTCTATATCTTTGCACTACAACATATAAATTACAAATAATTTTTCAAACAAGATTTACAATAATGATTATTATTTTTTAAATGTTCAACTACATCAAGTACTTTATACTTCAAAAATCAGTCCTTCAAAACAACTGTCACTGGATAATAGTGAACACAGCTACATCAAGTACTTTATACTTGAAACATCAGTCCTTCAGAACAACTGTCACTGGATAATAGTGACCACATTTCAATTTCAACAATTTTGATGTTTCACGTTTTTTAAGGTTTATAACAACTAACTGACACTCAATCTTACCAGTTTTTGCCACTTTATATCTACTGCCAGTAAACTGAATAATTCTGAATATGCAACAAACTATTTAGGAAAAATAAAGTACATACACAGGACAAAATTTTAAAATAACTTGCAACAGATTAAGTCAATTCCTAAATATAAGAGCTCGTGCAACATAAGAACCAAGTTTAACTACTGCTAAAGTCAAAATTGCTATGCAAATGCTTGACAATAAGATATTTCCTCTACTAATTTTGGTTTATAGTGGCATATCATACGAAAATCCCTTAAAATGAGATCTATGAACAATAAGACATCTTTCTTTTTATGAAAAAATAAAAAAAATACTTATGTTGACAATTTAAACATACATTAATTAGCTAAAAACGGAACAGCAAGTATCAAACTATTCTTAAATTGCTATTACAATGTTGATAATGCTAAATAAAAATGAGTGGGAAGTGAGAAATCAAGGCATGATGGACTGGCACAAGTTTTAATTAGATTTTTTTTTCAGTTAATAAGTTCTGTTTAAATGCACCTTCAATAACCGAAGAATTCAAACTACGTGCCACCTCAAGTTTCAACTGAGTACGAGTCTCAGTCAGAGCTCTTAGCTTCCACATGTTCACTGTAACAATTTCTTTTATTTCCTTTGTTTATTTTTTAATGTATTTTGATTAAATATACTTTTTTTTTTTATTTTGATGAGTTAGTATCACAAAAAAGAAGCAGAATTAGTATTCTCCACGACTTCAAACTGCAGTTAACCTATTGACGATACAGTTCAACTCCAGCAGTTGAATGAAAGTGTGTTGTATACAGTGTATGGTTCTTAAAGCAGCTGCAGCCAAAGGGTTAATATTCTACTGAAAACTTTGAGAGATTTTTTTGTGCTAAAAAAGTAATAACAAAAAATACAACTTACATTAAAAAATGGTAGGGCTTGTCTAATACACTGCATGACTCTCACAACACTATCAGAATCAGTGTGCTGAAAATACAAGTATAATTTTTTATAAAAGGGGTGTGCTTTAAATCATTTATATATTAAGCATCAGAAAAAATATAACTAATAAAACAAATTATATTTTGAATTGTTTGAGTATTTTTATATTCAAGATACACAAATACACACACTTACACAGTATACCTTTGAAAATGATGCACGTGTTACGTCAAACTAATCAGGTGATTAACTTTACATTTTTGTACATCAGTAAATTTGGGTTGTTTATCTAATATTTGTACTTTAAAAGCTGTTAATCTTTATAACATTTGAACTCAGAGAAATTTTTAATTTCGTACAAAAAAAAAAAAAAAATGATGCACACAAATGTCATTCAAAAAGTTGCATTCTTACACTGTATACTACTGTTGGATAGTTTTCAGAGCTTCGACTTGATCAAATTTTCCACTAAGAATATTTACAAGTTTTAATGGAGACAGAGTCACTTATTTGTTTACACCTCTCGTTCTTCTACATGTCTGGCACCTCCACAAGAATGCCCTTTTTAAAAGTGAAAACCTTTTCATCCAATCAGTCCAAAGTAAAAGAAACAAAATTGAAGTGATAAAGATTAGCTTTCTAATATTCCAGGCATCTTAGCATCTAGTCAGATTGGAAACAAAGTGCAACCTGTAAACCCTTTAAAATGGTTTTGTGTAGTTATATCCTTAAAATGTTTTTTCACAATGACAATTTCTACCAATAATAAATACAAATGTTTGCATTGTATCACACAAATATTGAATAATTCTACACACATTTAAAAACACAGAATTTGAAGTGTATAACTTTCGTGCGTTAAATTCAAAAACAACTTTGAAAAAAAAATTATGTTTTAAATTGTTTGTTCATCATAAAACCCAAAGTTATATATAATATCTTACACAGTTCTTTATTAAATCTAATATGAATTTAAAAGGAAATCAACCCTACCTTCTCAAGAACATGCAATGGCCGATTTTTTAACCTCGCCTTTCCTAAATAATCTAGTTACTGTAATCTTACTGCTAACAATACCCTACCTCAAACTCTTTGTCTATGTCCAACATATCAACTGCCATGTCTACTAATGTTTGCTGGCCAGGTATTGTTTTTGAAAGTTTAAGTCCTGATAAAACACTCATCAGGGTAATAAATTCTTCTCCTGTTACATCTTGCATTATCTGACAAACAAAAACAGATACAATGTTACATCTTCCATTATCCTGACAAACAAAACAGATACAATGTTACATCTTCCATTACCTGACACACAAAACAGATACAATGTTACATCTTCCATTACCTGACAAACAAAAACAGATACAATGTCACATCTTCCATTACCTGACAAACAAAAACAGATACA